TGATCACGAGTTTTCCGTGTTGTGCATATTAATAACAAGCAAACGACAATAGAAAAATATATTACCAAGAACTAAACGAAACCTAACGAGGAAAAATGTTTAAAATATTTTCACAGTGATCTTGAACCTCGCGAAATTCCTTACTTTTATATCAATCAAAGCAACCCTTTTTTTCCTCAAATGAAAAAAATAATTATTTCATGTGGAAAAACTAAAGGATAAAATGCAAATTAGAAATCTAAAACACAGAGGTCGCCATATTTAAGAGACATTCGAGAGTGTCTCTTACCAACATAGAGCCTGCTCCATCGCGTATCGTACGCCAGAGGCTGTTCATTCTCTGGCGTGCTCCTAGTTTTCTTCACGTTCCGTGTCACATCTCTCTTATTCACGGCTGGAAAATACCGTGCCACAATGATCTGTTTTCCATGTTTGGTGACAGCCGCTCCCGCTCCAAGCTCTCGCGTCCCCTCCCATACCACCTGACAGAAGGAGCGCGTACGCGAGTTAACTCGAGGCTTGTTATAATCAAAATACTTCCCTTCTTCGTACCAGATCCGTGTGACTTTCTGCCCGTTTAGTTCAGAGCCCCATAGGCAGGCGAGGTTTTCGCCGATGTCCTTGTCAGAGCTGTACCTTAGCGAGCCGCCGACGGAACTAGCGAGGTAATCTGCCCAATTTTGCGCGCTCTCCGCGAGTCGCGATGACCAGCAAAGAGGCGCTGTTCCATGTGCGGCGCGGTAGAAGTTATGGGCAGCTACGCATTCATTGCGAAAGCGCTGCAAGTCTGAGGAGAAAACGAACTTGTGGTGTTAGTCGAGACGCGTTATTCAATACCGATTGAAGGAAGGCAAGAAAACTGAATAAAAGTAAAAAATTAAATAATCGTGAACTCCCATGCTGGTTATTTTCCTCAGTCGCCGTTCATTCATTTTAAGCTCGCTACTAAACAGCTGATCCTGACTGTAAGCAGAACCTGAAATTCTCCTGGACGATTCTTCGTTAAGACCCCTTCAAGAGAAAACTTATCTTGAAGACCAAGAGCACAATTTCCAATCGGTGTCAAATACCGACATGGTTCCCTATGAAGCTTCTGTAGTCTTCACATTCGATTTTCCAGACTCGTGTGAGCGACAACCGAACCAGAACTGTCATCGATCACAAGGCAGGAGGAAAAGCTACTTAAATAATTATGGAATATAAACCTTACTTACCGCTTTTTTCCATCGTAGACCGGCATATGGACGGCGAGAATGATGGTTCGATCCGAAGCGAAATTTTTCAGACCTGTCTCATATGAACTTCAACATATTCAATTCACGAAATTCTGCCGCGGTCGGCGGGCAGGTGGTGTATTGTCACGTGATCAACAAAGCAGTCATTAAGCCGCGTCCTATCTGTTTCGACACATTCAAAAACAAAAACCTAATGATGTAATTTTATGCAGTTTGGGAACTAATTTTTCAAAGTACTTGGAACGGAAGAGACAACGATTTACACCGGCACCAAGTGCATCACTGCGAATTGAGGAATTCCGTGAAATTATTAGTTTAACGTTGGCCTGAATTCCGTGATGTCAAAGAAAATATTTCGCGTAGGCTTGCGTACTGTATAATTTCGACAGAAACAGGCCCATTGAAAAGAGACGCACAATCAAGAGAGCTGTTTATTGGTGAAGTTTCTGAAACGTAATATCAGTACATTCACGTCACTTACTTGAACATGTAGACAAATAATCGTCGTACTCGAAGTTGAATATTACACAAACCTATCCGAGCTTTCCACGATGACAATTTGCCACTTAAACAGAAAGTTGGTTTCGTAAAATGAGCTCGAAACCTAAATTGCGAAGCTAGGCATCAGAAATTCATTTTGGAAACAAATTCTGATTTTCTCCCAGAAGGGGTAAAGAGTTTTTCGATTAAAATCGTTTATTAAAATATTTTCACAAGTGATTCGATCAACAACCGCTACAGAGTCACACCCGTGTTACTGAAAAATTCATATTTAACTGTGAGATGGATGCGATAAAGTCTGAAGTGGTTTTACACAGACGTATCAGGAGCGAAGTGTCGCGACGATGAGAAAAATATTTTTAAATAGTTGAAGCGCTTTGCTGGGGTAGAAGAAAAATTATGCTAAACGTACTATGTTTTGAAAGCATTTTTTGTGCATAATATTGATTCTATTTATCTGATCCATTTGGACAATAGCAAAGAATATTTATATCTTATAGTTCACAGTGTCTATTGCAGTAACATATAACACAGAGCTTAAAATAAATGAAGTTTGAACAAACATAATGATGAATACAGTGAATTGGCACGGCGTTCAATATAACTTTTCAATACCGCTTGCTTCATAAATGTGAACAATATTTAAAGGAATAAAAAAGCAAAACAAAATGAGAAAAGCAATCTGTTTACTATCAATAATTCAACGAGCAAAATAACTTCGTTTGCGAAAAACTTTCATAAAGAAGGTCTGAGTGGCCTTGTAGTTTCGTTTCTCAAGTTTCTACGTTCCTAGACAACTACGCCGTTCAAACCTTAATCAACGACCATAAGAACCGTGTTTTACACGAGGCACGAATTTTTAGCCGTGGTGACTACAGAAATAATTACAGAAAAGCACAAAGAGAGAATTAAATTTTTCATAAATGGCCAACGGGCATGTGGAAAAAAAGCGAAAATCTTTATTTGCATGTTTCCAAATAAGACCGTGGTACATTTAACATTCCAAATACTTAATGGCTCTTGAAATATAAACTGCAAATCCGAAAAAATCCCTCTCGATTAAATTTTTTATTTCCATATAAAACAGAGAAACGTTTTAAGACTATAAATATGTATTTAAAATATATTTATGCCGCTTTCGTAAAAATAAAACAATTACTCCTAGGTGCACATTACAAATAAGAGCGCTTTATGTAAATCGAAGTTTAGTTAAGGTTTATTTATTCCAATTCACAGTGTTAACACGTGTAAGCCAATGATTATGGTTACGAGTTTTCAAATGTGTTGAAAATGAAAAAAAAAAGACTATGAAAAATTAGAAGCAGTATCGAAAAAGCAAAATCGTATTATACGCCCCCGTAATTCATAAAATCCGACAACTTAATTGTGGCGGATCCCTACTTAATGATATCGTCGCAGTAAAAAAAAGGAAAAAAATTGTTGAACCTATATTTGAGGAACTGCAGCTGCATCAGAACAAGTGCGAAATGTTTTCACGCCGCTAGGCACAGACAGAAAGCGTTTTCAGAAAAATTATTATTGACAGCCCACGTTGCACAACAAAATATTTGTTACAAGACACGAATAATTATTGCGTTCAAATCTTGCACTGTCGTAATACAGCCGTGATGTACGTCAAAGTGATTAATGGTACGGGAAGACATGGCATTAATGAGAGCCATTTTCACTGTAGGGGGAAAGCAGGCATGTTTACATTAAAATTTTAAGGTTTTCTTCTTAATTTTCCCTAAGTTCCATTTATGGCGCTTCTGATATGGGTCTAATCTCAACTTCATTGTCAAGGTCTCTCCTTTTTTCTTTTCCTGATTCCCTGAAGCGATAGACACAACTAGTTTGGTTTTCATATCCGAGCTGTGACACAGAGGAACTAACTTTTTATGTCTTCCTCATTCCCAGGGCCATCATAATTATCCCAACAATGGCCAAATTCACCTCATCAATAACTTTTTGTATGAAAATAATTTCGAGTAAGCTGGTTTCAAAGTGATAGCTGGCTACCCTTCAGGGCTTACCCAACAGTCTGCCGATACCCATTCATACAGATGCGAAAAGAGAGACAAAGTGAAATAACCGATCTTTCCCCAAACAATAGGGTCAGGGTTTTTGGAAGCTGGTTTAAAATAACCCAAGGTTACCGTGAAATCGAATTTCAGATATGAAAGCTTTAAAAGAAAATTCAGTACAATTTTTCTCACCAACAAATGGATCATTGCATACTCGAAAATGAATAGAGAAAATTATTCCAAAAGGCTCTTGAAAAAATGAATAAAAGAAGCCCGGATTAAAATGTAACCTTTGGTTAGAGCTATATCGGCCTTAGCACAACTGGGCGCAGGTATTTTACTGACGATAGCCAGAACAAACACACACAATTCAATCCACAGCCAATTACTGCGTTGCTACCCATTCCAGTACAGAAGTCCAAGCCACTTTACACTCTGCTGGTTCACACCTGCACGTTAGTCAAATTACTCAAATCTAAGATTATTTGGTTTTATCAATTTAGCTGATAATGTAACTCGGCCACCGTAAAGAGCCTCTAAGGCTGACGTTTCGTGCGTTAGCCCTTCGTCTTGACTTCGTCCTTCACTCTGACCAAATCATCTTGTAATACCCCCCACCGACGCCGCACCAGAGTTTCTTTAGAAACTTAAAGCCCCGTTCAAACGGTCATGATAGTTGATGACAATTGACAAAATCACACAATGAAATCGCGTGATTGTAAACAAATATGGCGCGCGCTGAGGCCAGCAATTTCGGTGGTGTTTGAAATTTTAGTAAAGAAGTTGCGAATCGAAGATACTGAAGCCTACCAGGAAATGATGAGAATGAACTACGAGACACTCTGCGAAATTTTGACGGCTGGTTTAGTCATTTTACCTACGTCCACTTCGGTTTTAGCCAGTTTTTGGCAATATGCTGACCGAGAAACTATCATCCGCTCGTTCAAACAGCAATTTCAACACGTTCAAACTACATGATAGTTGACGATAGTGCATGATAGTTCGTGTTCAAACGCGTGTGTTTATTGAAACTATCATCAACTATCATGACCGTTTGAACGGGGTTTAAGTTTCATCTGATACTATGACCGATTTCAAGACGGGACAACAGAAGGCCCTTGAAGGAAAAGGTAATTATTCGTTTTTCCATTTGTCCCTTTGGTAGAATTGATCAGTTGCTCTGATTGGCTTCAGTTAGAAGAGAAATAACAAAATAACACCTATCACATATGTACTGGTGATTTCAATTTTCTTTATTTACAAGTTATAAAAAAACTCACTTAAAAACAACATCCTTCGAATCTAGTCGAATCTAGCATACATATTAATATGTCCAGTCAACAAATCTGGTGTCTGTGAAAGGTCAGGCGTGTGAAAAATACGGAATTTATAGAAAAGAGCGCAACATTTGTAGAATGCCTTGAAGATGCAAACTCAAACTTTGCACACATAAAGCGCATTCTTGTCATTCATTATCCACTCAGTTGCGATTTGCTGCACGGCGAGTGTATCATTTAGCGGCGCTTCCGCTGAGAAACTTTTGCAACAATGTTTGAATTTCTTCCACGTTCTCTACGACTTTTGCTGAAGGGGCAAACTGCTTTCTTAGATCAAGGATTGTTGAGACAGGTATCTTCAATTTCTGTATCGCTTCATCATAAAGTGCCTCCCCCTGTAAATATAAACAACAAGGTCGTGGATTAGTATTTACTATATTCCGGCCGGATTAAAGTATGCAAACGAAAATACAACGGAAGGAAAGAAACCTAATCGAGAAATTTATTATCACCTTACCTGACTTTCACTGGGTAAATCGTGCTGTGTTTTTAAACGTTTTGGTTCGGGCTGCAACAAAGAAAGTTCCATCAATCCCATTCCCACAAAGTCCATCAATCATTGGATCACGATTCGGTGATGCAATTTTCTTGAAAGTTGAGATGCACAAACATTTTCAAACACAGCTACAACCCCTTGCCATTTGCGACTCCTTTTTGAGTACTTGCAGAGTTATGAGTACGACGTGAACGTTGTGCATTATCCAGACTAAGTCTGAGTGATGCACAACGCAAATAAAGGCAAAATCATAAAATTTTTTTAAAAATAAAATTCGAAGGGTTTGATGACTACCTCTATCTCTTTGTTTTCATTCGCACTATCGTTCCGTAATCGACCCCTTGTGTCCATAAATGGTATCTCTGTTTCTTGAATGTCATTGGACGGCGTGATCTGTGTTTTACTCCATGCCTCCGTTCCGAGTTGTTGTCTTAAAAACTCTACATCGAATTCCTACATATCCTGTCAAGGAAAAAAACTGAAAGAAGCGCGCAAAAAATATTCCACTTTTCAGTTACTTTTACAGAAGTTACACCACTGCGACTCAGGCAAAGGATACAGTCATGTCTCCAACTCCGAGTTCACTGTGCCGATAAGGAAGCTTAAACACAACAACAAAGTAACATATTAGTCAAGTCTCCATCTCCGAGTTCACTGTGCTCATAAGGAAGCTTAAACACAACAACAAAGTAACATATTAGCTATCCACTGATCTGATTCTATTTCCGTTACTTCCTAACATCGATCAGTATGAATATTCTCCATACTACGCCCCAGACATTTCCTAAGGTGCTGACAAGGAGAATTTGTCCAACAATCAAGAGCTTCTTTAGTTGGTGATCATCTTCTTTATTCTCATGACCTTCATGTTTGATTTAGGGTTGATGTTGTAAGGAGAAATTAGATGTTCCTCACACTGAGGGGTTTAAGGGTTAAAGGAAAAAATATAGTAGCAAATGAACTAACCTGATTTAGAAAATCTGACAAACTGGGAAGTAAATTCTCTGGAACACAATCTCCCATCACGTGAGTGTATCGGGTGACCTGGGAACAAAACAACAATCATAGAGCTTGCTAAAGTGAGGTGGAAAATTCTTGAGTTATCATCACACCCTACTGGATTTCAATGAACTTCTTAAAAACCCCTTCAATAAAATCAACAGGATTTATAATTTTAAATTTCAATGTTTGAATAAATCCTAATACCTCTGCGAATGCCTTAACGCTCTGAAATGCTTGCTGATGAACCAACCAGTGCGTGTCATTGACCAATGCGGAGAACATGGCGCTGATGTCGCTTAACACTGCGGACTGGTAGCAACAAATATCAATAGGTCACAACCAGAACAAAATAACTGCCATAATCTAGAGAAAAGTTCTCTACATGCAGTGCCACTACTATTAGAAAAAAAAAATTAACCAGACACAACATAGGAAACGAACAGGAATTGCAAATAAACTAAATTGTTTCAATCAATGCTTGGGAATAAAAAAAAGCAAACATCACATAAGATTAAGATGGGATTCATTGTTTTTGTTTTCTTGTTGCAATCGCATGGCTCAATTTTCTGTAAGCGACCCCGCTAACGGTAGTCGCTCTGTAAATGGAACTCTGCTAAAAAAAAAGCAAACAAAAAAACAACCAAACAAAAACAAAACAGAGGATATTTTGTCTTAATCATTGCTAATACTTGTGAAGTTGATCACCTAAACCAGCCAAAAAAAATTAAGGCAGACTTTGAGCTAACATAAGCACATTAGGTTAGGTTCAAGTTAGGGTTAGCTTAGGGTTAGCTCACATAAGCTCAAAAGCCAAAACGGTTAGCTTCTTCGTACCTCAAGGTGTTCTGGGATTTCTTTACTGCCGCATCTCCCGAGAAACTCTGCGGCTGCCTGGCGAACTCCTACAGTAGGCTTCTTATCAAGGAGACTTCGTAAGCCAATAAGTATCTGTTAAAATGTAACAACAAAAAACATAAATTCTATTTTAAGCTAATAACACAAATACTTGCTTTCAACAGGAAACCCAAAACCGCACTGTACCGTTGCGTAATCTTCAGGCTGGATCAAGGGAAGCAAGGTGGACGTCAAATCCAGTAACTTGCACCACATATGGATTCTAAATCGCTGCAAAATTAACGAGAAATTTTGGCGGTAAGGTTAGTTTCGGAAGTAAATATATGTTGAGTAATGTGTTGGTAAAGTTAGTATTGCAAGTTGAGTAAGTCTCGAAAAAACTGTCTCTTACTTAACAGATAAAATCCGGGATTATTATACTAGATGGACTCAAGTCATACCCTGTCCACAGCAGTTTTGTTTCTACCTTTCAGTGAAGCAAGGCAGCGCAGAGCTGGGGTTGGGAAGCGCCGGAGCAATTCCCCACCCGCCTTCAACGTTCGTGATCAGTAAGTCCTTCCTCGGCTGTTATTTCGCTCGCATTTTGACGATGGTCAGAGCCGGGGGGGGGGGGGGAAGAAATAGTGATCTGTGAATATCAAGATCAAGTCCAAATTTCTGTGTTCCCTTCATCTTTTCTAAGATAAAACTTACTTCTACTTGCTCACTTCCTTGACAACAAAGCGACCACAAGTCGTTGATAAGACCAATGGTAGCAGAGTGATGAACAGGAGGTATATAGCCTTCCGTTTTGGGTAGGCTGTAAACTCGCCGGAGACAACTTAAGCAGCGCGACTGAAGCAACCGAAAACAAAGAAAGAAAGAAACATAGAAGTAAGTATGGAATGGTGGTAATGACGATAAGCTCGTCGATAAATTCGGGATCAGGCAGATCTACTCCGAAAGTGTCGAGAAACTACTTCGAAAGTGACTAGAAACGTGACAGAAAACATGAAAAAGACTGTAAATTTAAGACGAAGTGAACCACCTGTATTGGAAGATAATGAATCTCATTCCGGTATCATCTTTTCTTATGTTAGCTTGCGAAAAAAGTGAAGACGGTGAGATGGCTTAATTATATATCGGTAGATAGCTGTAAAAGTAAAGTAAAGTGGCATTCAAACAAGTCGTTATGTTTAATTGTCAAGGTACATACCATGAGCTCGTTGTCTTCTGCTGATTGGTTCGCTATTCGCGAGTGACAAACTTGTACACACAAGGGAACAAGAGAACGGCAAACCTAAAATTCAAGGACATTTCAGAGGATTCACAAGATTTGAGCCCAGTATTACTGGAATGAGACTTGGTAAAATATAATAACGGAACAATGACATGAAACCGGAGCTAAGTTTTTGATTTTACAACGAGAAATGAACAGTGTTTAAGCTCGTTTACAACTAAAAGATGATTGAACCTTTTTGACCAAACGAAGATACAGTAGTTCACAAGCTGATTCTTAAGGTCTTAAAAACAAAGGAAAAGAAAAATAAAGAAGCTCTTGAAGTAAAGGTTAGTGCACTGCACTCCAGATTTTAAGTCCTGTGCACCTGTAAAAATTCTGAAGAACCATGCGACACAAGGCCAAATGCAATGCTCGAGAATCTTATCCAAGTGGAGAACCAACAATTTCTATTCAAGCCATGCCATTGACGTCACAAACAAAATTCCTGCCTTGAAAGCCCCTGAGACGAGGCACAAACTTCGGCATGATCACCAATACCTATTTAACAATTATTCGCCGAAGGCGAAGTGAATATTATTAAAAAATGTTCACTGAGCCAGAGGTGAATAATTGTATTAGTATGACTGCTCAGGTACTTTCGAATTGTTTTCTAAAATCTGTAAATTAAGAATTAAGCATATTTTTTTTTCCAATTGCATTGAGTACTCGTTTCAAGATTAGCAAGCCTTTACCTTTTTCTTGACGCTCTCGGGCATATCTCGTAAGGGATAAATGCACCACGCGGCGATGTTTTCTTCTTTCGACGGTGGAAAAGAAACAGCAAGATTCTCCTACCGAAAAACGTTTGACCGAAAATTGAAGTAAACACCTATGATATATAGATACTGTTTCTGCTATTCTCAAACAAAAGTAGAAAACCGAAAGCGGACGTTGAGTACTTAAATGTTTCATAACTAATCGTAAGCCAATAATTGTCATACATAAAGAATGGCAAGTAAAAGAAAACCAAGGAAGTTTTATCAGACAACACGTACTTGATGTTCCACAGCCATAAGGCGAGTAAGACGTTGAATGAGCAGCGACAAATGGACATAACCAGCACTTGAAGCAGGCAACTGTGATAACTGCGAAACAAAGCCAACAATGACCGTAATGAATGTTAGACTGATCCACAGTTCGCCACAAAACGTTCCGCTAAGTGTTCCTATACGTTGTGGCCCACCGAACCACAGAGCGAAATTATTGCTTTTTGTCATCCAGAGACGCTGCATGTACAAATACTTTAGCGTTTTATCCACCAAGGGAATCTTAATCGACAACTATTGTTAAATCCCAAAATACCTTTTGTAAGTCAGTGTTTCCAAAAGTTCACGCACTGATAAAATAGACAGTAATTTTTGTTTTGTTTTTTATTTTCTTCTTTGCAACGAGGACCTTGCAGTCAACTGAAAATGAAGGCCTCGCTGACGGATATTTCTAGTACGGTAGTCACCTGCTGTAAGCCAACATGAATAAATGATCCCTAGCTTATAAACCTGAAGAGTAGGGAGCCTACTTCTGTCACAAAACGCGAGAAATAGTATCCTAGGCAGGGTAGAAGAATGAAAGGTTTTTTTTTTTTTCACAAGGGTTGGTGTTTGAAGGCCTCAGTGGCAAACCCAGACTCAAACTTCCCTTCCCAACATCCCAAATTCCAATTTGACCTGGAAACGGTAGAAAAGAAGAGCCACCTCATGGAATGTACGCTGCTTTAAAATCTTATTATTGTTATTATTGCTATTATTGTTATCAGTGTTATTGTTGTTATTATTATTATTATTATTATTATTATTATTATTATTATTATTATTATTATTGTTATTGTTATTATCATCAGTATCATTATTATTATCATTATCATTGTTATTATCATTATTTATCATTATTAATTGCCTCAGAGTCGAAAATTCACCTACCAGTTGAGTAAGAACTATCACATGTCCCGAACACAGCTCGGCAGAGCCCCACCTACATGTAGACAAAAAACTTATGTTGTAGGGTCTTCTGATTATGCACTAAATGAAAAGTAGTTGAATAGCATGTATCAAACATGACACTGTATGTCTACCTTGCCATGAAGCACCACACGTCACTCGAGAGCAAAGCACACAGCAGGTCATCCTGAAGGATGTGCTCCAACAGGCATCGTTCCTAAGAGAAAGGAAATAAAGGGGAGGTGTAATTGAAGTAAAACCCCAGATATGTTAGCCCTTTAGCTCCCAAAAGTGATAAATATGCAACATCTCCCTATAATATCCATACATGATCCAGCAAACAGGTAACAAGAATACTAAAACTTAAACTAAATCAGTAGAAATTCTGATCTCGGTCTAACAGTAAATTCTTGTAATTAATATACAAGGAATTGTGTAGCAGCTAGAGGGGAGAATTATCAATCAGATCTTGGGAATCAGAGGGTTAAGATAAATAGATCATTGCATGAAAATTGAGGAAAATTGAAGCCAAAAAAAGGAATATTTTAGATGAAAAAAGTTCAAATGAAATAAAGAAAACCATTGCATGAATGTTCACAACCTGACTACATTTCAATTCTCTGAGTTCAAACAATGTGGTAAAGGTGTCTTGTCTCAGAGGTATTGCAATCAACTGGTCTGTCAGTGTAAGAACTGAGCCATTCTTGAAGCAAATTACAACATGGTTCTCAATGTCCTGACATTTAAGACAAGTTATGAGCACTGTGTTTCTATTAGCACTACTTACCACAGCAGAAAAACATACTGCTGGTGTGGAAGCCACAAGAGAGCACATTCTAGTACAAACATGCTCATACAAAGTTACCTCTCTGAGGAAACAACAGAATCAAAATGATAATTTATCTTTGTCAGTCTTCAAATTAATTGCCTAGTGAGCATAAAATATTGAATGGTTAGCAAGCTTTAGACAATTAATGCAACAAATTGTCCAAACTCCTTAGTTAGGGGGAAAATAGGTTTAAAAATATTTTATTTATTGACCAATAACATTTATTATCATATGGCATGTATGGCCCTGTGTGCAAGCCCATAGAAACCATAGTGAAAGCTGACATGTGTAAGGCCAGACAGGTTGATGTGGGTTGGTCCCTAATAAGCTGTCTGGCCTTGCACTCACACAGACTACAAAAATTAGTGTTTTTTTCTTTTTATGAATTATGGGTTTTAAAAGTTCTGACAAGAAATACAAAGCAAAACTTCCCAATTTAGAATCTGTTTTGTTGTTGTCCCATGAGCTTATATCACATACTATCTAGGTTGAAACAAAAATTTTCAACATTCAGTGGTCATATGATAAAATTCTTATTGCCTGAGTTTGGTCAGGCCGGATGGGATAATATTTGGTTCTCAGTCAAGGCCCATGGACCTTGCTGCACTCTGTACATCATCTGTACAGTCAATAAGTACACATTGACTTCCTAGTCAAGAGATGCTGGACCTAAGGTGAGCACAGTACTGCACTCCACATTATAGGACTAGCAATATATCAGTCGGCAATCGACCGACTATCGGTCGACAGTAGACCGATAGTCGACCAATGCATCACCCAATATGTACACATATATTGGTCGACTGTTGGCCGATATATCGGTTGACTATCGGTCGACAATCGACCGATATATCGACCAACTGTCGGCCGATGCATCAGCCAATATGGGCACATTTATCGATCAACTGTCGGCCGTTATATTGGTCCACTGTCGGCCGATCTATCAGTCGACTATCGACCGATAGTCGGTCGACTGTCGACCGATAGTCGACCTATAGTCGGTCGATAGTCGACCATCAGCCGATATGTCGACCGAGGCCACCTATAGTACACATGATCCGATAATTCTACAGAACAAGGCCCACCACCAAGTAAAAAGAGGTTGAGGTTCTATAATTATATTCATTGATTAATAACATTTATTAACTCCCTAGTTTAATGTAACAACACAGTTGTAATTTTTTCTTCTTTTAGCACATGGCCACACCTCAATGGTTTTCCCTTGCTCATCACACCTTCTACACATAATGGCAGGCTAACCTCCACAACACCTGAAAATAATAGAAATGCACATATTAAAACATGCATGCATGTTAACAGCACATCATCAAAGAATACTTACACTGACTGAAATACTGAAACACTGCCTCCAAAAGTGAATGACAACATTCCTCCTGTTGAAGACAATAAATACCGTAACATGCTAAATGGCGTAAGGAAATTTTTTTCTTTTGCTTGTTGTTATATACATACATATTTCTTTAACAGACCTTGCAATTATCATGGCAATGCCACTTTTTACATTTTTCTCTCTGTTGCAATTTTCTTTTAACCACAGTAGAGTTACACCCTGTACCTTACCTCTGGGTAATTAGTAGGTGAGATCCAATATGCAAATACATCCTCTACAAAAACAACAACAACACTGCATTATTAGTGAAGACTTTAGAAAAACATTGCAGTAAAAATTACTTCCTTTCTTTTAATCAAATCAAATCAACCCACATAACCAGCCACATTGCAATTCAGACAAAAAGTGCACAATCAGAGGTATAAATGATGGCACATGCCAAAGTTTTCTCCGTTAGAAGTTCTTATTCAATATAGAAGCACAACCTTTCCAAGATAATGTTGAACTCAGTCTGCAACTGAGGTTAAAGATAGAAAACTCAACATTAGAGGAGTGGGGAGGTGGAGGCAATGACATTAGGACCAATCGAGTGAAAGATTAAGGCTATCAAGATCTGGGCCACTGATTGTATTTTAATTCTTACCAGACAAATGTAAATTAAGTAGCAAAAAAAAGGAAACTTTTAGAAGCCTAGGTAGTGATAGAAATGACAAAAATGAGGTTATTTTTCAGCTGTATTAATCAAAAAGGAGTTTATAGCGGTTGCAGTTAGCAGTTAAGATTTGGTAGACATTACAGTTAGTATTGGAGGAGTTTGTTCAAGTTAATTACCTGGTGTACTTGGTAGAACACTCAGAATAGTAACCAGCAAACAGCAGTGTGCAAAGTGACTCTTGTCATCCACCACTGAAAGAAAATCCACCAAAATAATGATTTACATTAGAAACTACACTCCCATGACTGTCTGGGAAAATCCAAAGATAAAAACTACTTTCTATGACCATACTGCTAAAAGCCCAAAAAGAATGATGAATGCCTCCTATTTTTCCGACTTACCTAATGATTTCCTAGTTATTAGTTTGGCAAAGTGTTTGTTTTTCACAATAACAGAAAGCAATGGCTCCACCTTAGGAAAAGACAAAGATGTTTCAAATAATAATTACCACTACCATATAAGCATACTCAATACTTCCATTATCACTAAAGTTATCATAAAATATGACACAGTTGAAGTGTCAAGGACTTGATTAGTAATGGAAACATGACCACCCATGTATGTATTAATTATGATAACTTTTATAGACAAATATATGACAAAGAGTTGTAAAAAAAACAGTATTAACTTTTGGTTGAATATTTTTTGAATATAGAGGAAACAAATTTCTATAAGCAATAATACAATACCATACTTTATTCAGGAGATACAAATAATAATAATAAAAATACCTCTTGAGACAGAAATTGTGAGGTTAACCCTATGCATGACAGTTTCCATAAATAAAAAGCATAAATGTCATGTGCAACCTAAGAACTATTTACAAGCTGTAATAAAATGCAATATCAATTATTTTCCAAGTTAAAAATGATAAAACATACTTATATACTAAACAAAGAAATATATTTTGCACATTAAGCTCACCACTATTAATAAGGCAGATTTTATACCCTGAACTGCAGAAGCATCAATTTTTGGAGCACTTAGGCTTGGAGGTAAAGTGCTGAGAGATGGAAATAAAGAAACACTTATTATACACTTAAACTAACACTAGCTAGTTTAAAGAGAAACAGTGTTATGGGGGTGGGCAAGTGCTAATTATAAATTGCTGTACATAAAATACAAGTGAATTACATTGAATGCTTTAGAACCATTATCCTCTTGTATATAAATTTTTTCAAAAAAAATAGCAGGATGGACAGTTTCCTTTACCATATGAAAAGCATGTGAGTTGTCAAAGTAAAATTTAACACAGTTTTACACATACCTTTGAATCATTAACAGAAAATGAAAAATATTTTCCAAACATGTGTCATAGTAACCATCATATTCCTGTAAAAATGTTGATGACAAAAAGGAACATGTAAACTAATGTGCTTGAATTCAGTATTAAACTACAACAAATTAATCACATTATATATCTCAAACAGAGGATTATTTACATGAGCTCATATGAAACTGATTGAGATGGAAAGCAGGTTAGTGATCTACTGACCATTTCCTTACCTTTGTGAGATGAACAAGGTGACCCACCAAAAATCGCATAATTTTAAGCATCTTAGCCAGAGCCACTTCATCACCAGTAACCTGAAAAATCAACTAACATCTATCACCACAAGTTCAAGAATGAGAACAAAAATCTAAATAATCAAATTACACCATACAGTTAAATATACAACTGGTATGCACTGAATTAGAAAGTCCTCTGTATAACCTTTTGACCATCAGAACTACCAGTATCTTCTGCTCTGAATGGGGCAAGTTGAACACATCGCATTAGTTTGGTCTCAATTGAGGTACACAAATGACAAATCAACCTGTCCACCTGTAACACAAAGCTCAAGGTAAGACAAAACGTTACTCAAACATACAAGTTTTTAAAGAACAATGAAGGTTAATGGCACAACTCAAAAAGACCAGAGAACATAAATCAAATCCCATAGCAACAACAGACTTGTGATAGAATCAGACAAGAAGACAGAATCTTTGATTGAAGATCAAAGATGAAGAGTAATGGCCAGAGATTGAAAGCAATCTCCCCCAAGGAAGAATTTTTAGTCTTCACCAATGTCCTACAGGGTAGAAGAGAAGGTATGACAAACAGTTGTCTCCAAAGACATACGTGTAAATACACACTTCATAAACATTGTAAAGCTTCTATAGGGAGTGTGTTTGAAATGCAACACAGAACATAATTAATACATAAATGTCAATCACTGTGTATCATAAATAATTAAGTATAAATGATTATCAACTCAGAATCTATACACTATGAATTTTCACCAAAACTTCATATACTTTTTCACTTACTTCTAAATAGTTCTTGATATGATCTCTATGCTTGGTTACAAGTCTGTTGATCCCCAAAAATTTTGAGATATGCTTTAAATCCACAACTCAATACTTTGTGGTGGTGAAACATCAAGTGCATTACAATAATGAAACATTACAACAAATACTGGAATTATTACCAAGGGCACTTGTTAACTTTGACATCCAAATGGGAACTGACAGACACTGACATTTATGAATCTTTCCTAGATCTCATCAAAGCAGGTCTATCACAATGCTTAATCCAAATATTTAAATTTTAATATGTTTGAGCAGTGAACAAGATAACGTATCGATGTATTTCATGTATATACACTACACTTTATCTACTGTTACTTGATGTTAGTAATAATTACATACTTTTTTAACACTTTCCATGTGTTCACCAATATACTTGTATCCAAATCACCAATAAGAATGCAAACTTCAAGGAGCTGATGGCACACTGGGTCATAAAAGAAAAACCAGCAGATGACATAAGTACAGTTTGAGCAACACTCCATGAAAATTAATCATAGCTATACCATAATATAACCAAAATCATTGTAGTGTCAGTTTTAGTAAGTAACTCTGAGGTTTCATCAGCTACAAATGACCAATTCCTGATAGCAATTAAGAAGGAAAAAAAATAAAATTCTCTTGCTGACAAGTGTTTTTCCATAATATTCTCCTTCTGAATGATCTTAATAATAGTACATGTAATTTACCATCTATTTATTAAGTAATTCAAATTATCCCCTGCTCACCTTCTGTAATATCTCTAACATCCTCATCAGATGCATCATAATTTAACTGGACTTTGTCAAGTAACTCCATCAATCCCTTTGGTAAATAAAAATATTGGATGATATTTTCACAACTCTTGTTTTTTTACTGGTAAAAAAAAACCTGGTCTCCAATGGTTTAATTATATTATATGAGCTCAGATAAAGCATTCAAACCATAGGTAGTGACCAAACCAACACCATACACTGTATACTCTGATGTGTCTTGTCTCAACCCATATGCTAGAAAATTTCTAGTTTTCATTAAATCTTTCCTTTCATATTTTTCCATTTTTTACACCCTCTTCTTCTCTTTTTAATTTTTTTAATGGGTTGGCCAAGGGCATAAGCATCTAAAAACAAACAATAGCCCTTTATAAGCATATAGCTGACCTATTTACCTTCTGTAGCTGGTAAGATCTCTTAAACAACATGGCTAGATCCTGAGACACAACATGGAACAAATCACCATACACTTTTTCACTATCCTGCAAGGAAAATCACGAATTTGTAGAGCAATTATGATTTGATTATACTTCCCACATATAAATTAACCACTTACAATTTAATGTTGTAATATCTGAATTTGTTTGAATAAAAAGTGTCAATTAGAATGTACCTTGCAGTGTTTAAAAGTAGCATTCACAGTCTGCAGTACAGCTGATGGAAGGGAATGAATGTTTTCAATAAAGAGTTCCTCTGTAAGGGAAAGTTGAGTCACATTCCCAACACAAGTCTCCAGACACTCCATAAATGCCATAACTAGCTGTAAAATGTACAGAGAAAAATTTAAGAGAAGGAAGTATGATATTAAGTGAGTACTTGACATTGCATTTGTCTCCTAGGTCTTAATTCATATTTAATTTTCTATTCCACACTTTCCTAGTTCATTTATTTTTGTATATGACAGAATCTGACACCCCTTTTAATTACACTCTCCAATTCCCAAAATACCAGATACATAATATCAAAACTGCATGGCTTCTCTCTCCACGTCCAACACATTAATTTTAACTCAGGTTTTTTATCCTTGCAATAATTGATCAGATTTCCTTTCCCACAAGAGGTTTGAAAAATCATGATTTGTACATATCTAACAACTGGCTACAATATTGTTATAACAGTATGACTGTAATCAGAGCATGAACACAAACCTGTAGAAGTGACTGGACTGTTTGTAATCTGTCATGGCTTCTTTCTTGATCAACAGCCTGTGCTTGTAGTGACTTAATAATCTGCTCTATTTCCAAAATGGCCTCATAAACAGCATCATATACCTAATAGACAGTCAACCAAGGTACAAATAGTTAATAGTTTCAAACAAATGGAAGGTCAAAAATTTTAAGCTAGTTTGAGAAATATATTTTCTGCATTGGAAAATACTGTAATGTATGTCGAAATGAGAAAAATACAAATCAAACTTGTACAAAATCATTTTGACGTGATGCTGGTTTATAACTCATAACTCAAAGAAAAATAACAATTGAACTCCAATGAGTTACCAAGAAAGAACTTGTCCAAGTTACAATATCAATACAATATCAAGCAGACAATTGATGAGAGTAGAAAAAGATATAAATTTGGGGATTATTAGTTGATCCCCTATAAGTAACATCTCAAGATCTGTATGGCAGACAGTAAGGGCAATAACTGATGATATTTTGGGAGTAAAAATGTTAAAATATAATCACTAGACATTTCAAGAAGCCCATGAAGTTGAGAAAAAAAGTGTAATTTTGTTATCTATAAATGTGTTTATATTCATAGCAACAGATGAACAGATGGCTACAAGATGAAATAACAGTATACAATGTACAATGTACGATTGGATGGTGTGTTTTCCTTAACAGAGAAGTCCTTTTTTGAATTTGAAAATTGCTTCTTCAGCTGTATATTGAGGGCCCTAAGTCAACATAAATGTTTTTAACAAAAAAGTGGCTACCTTTGGCAAGATTCTTGAGAAAAATTGGGCCTCTACTTCAACTAAGGATAAACTGGGAAGAGCTTGACTTGTGAGGTTTTTCAAATAACCTAACAAAACAAAAATACTTTTATTTTGTATAGATACATGAAATACTAATGGTTATAATAATAATAATCACCAGCACCACACCATCATCATTATTGTAATGGTTATTCTTGTTTAAATCAGCATCCCTAGCTTTAACCCTTTAACTCCCATGAGTGACCAAGATAGAATTCCTCCTTACAATATCAAAACAATATCAAGCTGAAGAGTAATGAGGATAAAGTCAAATACCATTAGGGGATTATTACTTTATCCAATACCAAATTCTCCAAATTAACATCACAAGAACTGTAAGGCAGACAGTAGGAAAATTGCTGATGAGATCTAAGGAGTTATAGGGTTAACTGTGGCAGTTGGTAGTTTGGTTCAAGGTAAAATGTTGATTAGAACAAAACTATCCTTTATAAAACAATACCTAGCTTTTCAGTTCTATCTGGAGTCTCACCAAAGGATTTCTGATACAATTGGATTACTGTTAAGGAACAATTTTCATTATACTGATATCATTCAGTTTTACAAAAGATACTACTGTAAGGTAATTAAGCCACAATAGCGATGGAATACTCTCTTATCTAGGTATGATATATTTGGCAGTTCAGTGCAGGTTTAATTCAGGACTTAAAATTGAAAGGTTGTTGCTTTAATAAAAATTAGCATAATTCTCCAAGGTGATTGGTTATCACCAGCCCAATTTTAACACTAAATAAGACAGTGCATGCCTCATGCATATAATTGGATAGTGCTATCCGACGGTATATGCATCATGCCTGTGTAATTGGACAGCGCAAAGCATATATGCTTGCTGTCTCACCTTCTGCCAAGTTAACTGTGTTTTCTTTAATCAAAACACATAACAGATGGCTAGTTTGTTCCTAAAATTTCTTCCTAGTTTTGATTAAATGGTAACAGGACTTACACCTGTAATGTTGTGTGAGTCTCAGTCTACAATCACACAAGTTTGTAACTGACAAATCGGCCTACTGTTTTGTTTATCACTCATAGGGTCATTGACCGAATTGGACTGTATAAAATATAGAATGAATATGTATCGCTTGTAAAGTGGAAACCCCTTTGTACTGTGCACATGTGTGTACATGTACTACTTCAAATTAGGTTAAATTTCTATGGTGACTGATTTGCATGGAGACAATAACGGAAAATCTCAGTAAACCTTGGTTAGCTTTGTAATGAATGAAGCTAACTAAATGCCCACAGAGAAAGTAATGAGTCATACTGAAGTGTTCCAACAGTGGTAAAAGAAGTGGTCGGTACAGATAGCCTTAAAATTCCACGCACCCATTGCTTCAAGTTAAATTAGTCATTTACAGGAACATCAGTTTTCTATTTTTGAGCAACAGTGGAAATTTTTCCCGTAGGTTTATCATGCAACGTTATTTTCAATCTTGTACGCTTTCAGGCTCGAAAGCGAGTATTCGCGTAGAGAACACTTACAAGTTGTCTGATAATTCTATTACTAAACAATACACGCTGGCTGAGTTAAAAAGGATACGATAATAGAATTGAGCTGACTTGCGTCTGACTGGCTCTGCGAACCCATGCCGAAAATTCGGCATTTCACGATCAAGTCATTCGCCAGAAGTTCATTTTTGCCTCCACAAGATAGCATTGAACGCGCGCTCTACTAACGCTGGTGACTAGTTACAGCGGAACGCCTGCGCAAACAATTTTTGGCGGGAAATCAACCAGTCAACATTCCACGCGATCGTGACCATCGACAGACAGCTTTCAGTCACAAAAGAACCTAGGTCAATTTGCTGATTTCTTCTATTTTGTCCAACGAAAAGGGAAAATGGTGCATGAAACTGAACCTGAATATCCTACGGAAATTTCTGAACGGTAAGATTCAGCGATCAAAATAAAATATTGGCCATGGTTCGATACATTTCAGCAGCTACTAAGCGATCGCCGACCAGTGCATATCACAAAATCAGCCTCTGACTTTTTGTCAATTGGATTCAAGGGCTTTTGGATCGATCGAGATTGTATTCTGTTGTATATATTTTCAGGTTGATAGAGCTCGCGGAGGAATATAAGGATGGCGTTTTCACCGAGAAGGTAAAGTCGACCTTCGGAAATGTGATCTCCAATAATTAATCAATGGTAAACGCAGCGATCAAACATAGGACATTTGCAAGAGGATCAATTTTGGCAGACCTGAGAAAACCTCTCGGTGGAAATTTTGTAAAATTTCTGTCCGCCGGCCAGCTTTAATATGTAGAAATTGTTTCCTACACAGGGCTATGTGATGAAAAAGCTTAAGCTTTTAAAACCGTTGTCGGCCAACTCGGTACAAGAAAAGTAAGCTGCAGAATTATATATATTTTTTTAATTATTTTGTCTGCTTTTGTGCTGTTTTGTTTTTGTGGTTGTTTTTTTTTTTTTGGTGATTTTAATCACGAGTTATAAAAATGGCCTTACATCACCTGATAAAAAGCAGACTTTAATTATTGGTGTAGTTGTTGTTAAGAGAAGGGGTGGTTGTGGGAATTATTTTTGTTGAAATTACACTCATAATCCTTCCACTGGATTTATTTTGAAAACCACCGTGTTATCTCTATCGTAGGATTCAGAAAGCTCAAGACGACTACAAAGAAGGAAAGGCAACCGAAGTAAGTTTCTGATTCAGTTGATAATTGCTTTTCCACATTATCCCATTGTAATATGCTGATTGCAAGTGCTAAGCTATAAAATTATTTTGTAAAGACAATGCATGCTCAAAGCATTTACATTTCAGATCTTATTTTCATTTTTGTTCACTGCTACAGGAGCAACTCATAGACCAGTTGAAAGAGCTCCTCTCTGAGATTGGTCACAGAGCTAGCAATGGATGTGGTGCAGTTCCATTATCTCCAGCATCATGTAATGATGGTCAACATAGCTTAATGTCATCTGTGAAAGAAGATCCAATGGAGACAGAAGATGTAGCCTCCAGAAACGGAACAAGTAGTAATGACAACACTGATCCTGGTGCCTCAGGAACAAACTCTAATGAAATTATGCAGACTGATGACTCAGATAATAAACCATTTATTGACTCAACTGCAGGGGCGTCAAATGGCAATTCAAAGGAAGGCCACATTGAAAATGAAGCACAGACAGCCTCATTATCCACTGGCAAAGGAGGTAGGTATAATGTGATGAATGTGATAGAGGTTGTGGTTAACCATCTTGACGATATATAACAATAATAAAATATTAATTTATTCTTATGTGGATCACTTGTGTCAACCATGTGTTGGTAGTCTCCTTTTGAGGTTCAGATCTACTCTTTACTGTCATGTACTGAACATTACAATCACTATCACTCTCTGGGGATCATCCTCTAGAAGGTGACCTCAAAAACTGCCTATCATAATGCTTCTTAAGGTGCTGTACAAACAATTGACTTCATCATCTCATCACTAAGAATAATTGAATCAATCAAATTTCTTAATGGCAACATCATACTTTCCCTATCTTGTTTGTGTTACTTAACAGGCAGGCTTTTTATTTCCAATTTTCCAGGGTCATCTTTGCCGTTAGAGAAAACCCCTCCTAACTCTGAGGACAAGGTACCTACAAGAGTTTGTTGTGAAATGGAAATGTAAATAACTAACAAAATGCCACAGTGACTGTTAAATGTGACTTTAAAGAATATTAAAAACTATATCAAGGCTGTTTGTCTGACTGAAAAAATTCTTTTGCAGAAAAAAACCAAACTGAGAAAAGAGACTGGCAGGCAACTGGGTATTAGAGAGATGTTTACTAAAGGGTAAGATACAAGTACATATGATAAGAGTCAAGTTAGAATGAATAATGTTTAAAGGATTTATTTAAATAATTGTACTTGACCTTATGTAGCAGATATGTTGTGGTCTGGGTTAATGTACCTGACTTTCCTCAAGTGTAACCATGTCAAGAAAGAGATTTGAATCAGTAATCTGTTGACAGAAACCTTTTGAATCCTAAGATGATTTGCAGTAAATGTAAACTTTAATGTTTTTTCTGTGACAAGAAACAAAGGGTTATGGCTGCTTAACACAATTGGGCCTCTGGTTACTTAAGTATTACAATCTCCTTGGATGGGAGTTGAGACTATTTAAAGACAATTTTCAGCAGTTAGGCTGGATTCTGTATTTGTTAACTCTCAGACAGAGAGTTACTAGCACTATTTATGCAAAGTGTGATGTCTCAAAGACCCAACCACAGTGAAATTATGGCCTCCAATTGTAACCAGACCAGTCAATAGCAGAAGTCATTACATTTCAGTGTTCCGCCACTTTATTTCTCACATTATGTCTGCTCTTCCCTACCAACATGTTTAGTAGAACTTTTGTTCCTTCCATCACAGACAAAACGTACGTAACAACCTTGTCTAATAAGTAGTGGATTGTATTTAGAATTATTGTTATTATTATTATTCAGTAAATGAATGTTAATTTTTAGGCCTGCTAAAAGAAAGAATACAGCAGATGATGGTGAAGATGCTGGTGAGACCAGTGAAGATTCATCAAACAGCATCATTAGCAAAGTATGTAGTCTACTTTCACTGTACCACTTCATCATTATAATAAATATTATTGTGGATTTTTTCGATAAAAACATCAACATCACTGTTAATCAGTATGTTCATTGGGCAGGATAACAAACGTCTTAAAGTGTCAGAAGATGAAAGCACTGATGAAAAAGAAAAAGAATTGTCAGAAACAGAAACAGGAACAGAAACAGGAACAGAAACAGGAACAGAAAGGCAAGAGTCGACAACTTTACAAATACTCATATGAGTTTGAAAGCTTGAATATTATATACTATTCTCAATCTTGTTTGGTTGACCCTCAGGGTTTGTTTTGATCATAGAAAAGAATTGCCAAATAAGATGAAAAATAAAATTTTCATAACTTATAATTATCTCAGTCAGTAGCACAATCCAAGAAATTTTATTGCTATTGGTGTGTATGCATTGCAGACATACATACATATATAATATATATATTTATATATATATATATATATATATATATATATATGTATGTATGTATGTATGTATGTATAAAATAATTGTCCATAGTCATCCCTATCAAATTAGAATACTCTAATTATTGTTTTTGCAAGTCATAGAACATGTAGTTATTGGTTTAACACCTACCAAATTTCAACGTGATAATGTTGTAAATATATTTTTTCTTTCTCTTGCATGTGTTAATTCTTTTTTTGTTCAACAGCTATCAGCTAAGAGAATCCTCTGCAAGGGCAAAATGTGAAGGGGAAAAAACACAGGTGCTAAAAATTTTTGAATTCTTCTCGTCATACTGAAGACCTCTATGAAAGTTCTGTAGAAATAAATATATTTCTCAGGATTTGAGAGAAAAAGTAAAATCTTAAATGTTCTGGTAATATACAACAATGGAATATGGAAACATTTTCTTGGTTTACATGTGGGTCAAGTATTTGCAGGAAAGTCATCAGTTTGAACCCTATTCAAGCCACAATTTTTAATGCTTTATTTCAAAACTACCTAGTCATTTCTCCAAGTGAAATGATCTTTCTTCAAATGGCATCTATCTTGCTCTTTTAAATGATAATATGTTTGATCATTCTGTAGCCTCCTGTCAAATGTAAGGAATGCAAGCAACTTCTGGACAGTCCTGACTTGAGACTTTTCCTTGGTGACTGTGATGATGCTGTAAGTTTATGATACATGTTGCTCTCCACTAGGCAGTTTTTGAAGTTCCTTGAAGTTGTGCAAATGTTTGTTATGGTTCAAATTTTTACTAGTGGAAAAGGACATGATTCTTACTATGTACCTAGTTACAGTTCTCTTGTAGTTAGCTATACAATGACTGGTATCTGACAAACATGTATACTAAATATTATCTTCTGACAACCATTTCAATATGACTAAAATTGAATGTTCTAACTTCCTGCCTGTCTTAAGGGTTGTTGTCTTATGAAATGTCACAGCCAGTATGTTTGTTCTAACAATTGTCAACTGATATTATTATACATGAGACTTACTATAAAATTTCTGAGTGGTCGAGACCATACAGTCAGCATACAATAGCATGTGAAGTTGACTTGATATCCCAATATCTGCTGCTGATATTAGGTTATTATGTTGTGTTCAAAGTCGTACTAGTTTCCAAGCCCCTTGTCTATGAAATGTTCTAAACTTTTGCAAACTCAGAGAATTGTTTTTATTTTGCAGATTGTTTAGAAAATGTATAATAAAACAATTACTGAATTTTGGTTTTCCCATAAAATCATGATACATCAAACTTTGTGTCTGTGTTGTCTGCCCCAGCCTTCAGCTTCTGCAGGTAACTCAGACCTCAGCATTGATAATTCATGATATCATGCTCAACCTCATCCAGTAATTGCTTATTGTCTACCAGGTGGAAGAATTTGTTGCCTTAACTGATCCACGTTTGTCTCTGTTCTCTGGTGAGGAGGAACAATTTGACAGCTATAACGACAGACCACAACACAAAATAACAAATTTCAGGTAAGGAATTTTTGCATCTTTACAATTGCCACATTCATTAATCAAATGAAATAAAAGTTAAGATGATGAGAGCTCTTCATATTTCTTTGCACCATTCTATCATGCTTCACCTCTTCTAT